GAAATCAGCAATCTTTGACCCCATAAAGCATTCTAGCTGATTTGGCAGATTTCGCAACCTAAAATGGTAATTATATTTCCACATTTTGACTTTTTTATATTATATTCTTCGATTCATAGGAAACAAAATCGAATAAGTGGTTTACTTAATCGAAACATGTGATGTAGGTAGTTTCATGCTAAAGTTTAAACAAATACATTTAAATGACTTTGATCGCTTTGACTTCAAAAACCAATATGAGAATACGAAAGCGTCAACAAGACCATATATGCGAACTCAAAATCAATAAAAATTCAGGTAAATCTAAACAAAGGAAATACTAACACGGAGACAATTGAAAGAAGGTACAAGGGTGATTACACCAGGTGTTTCCGAAGGGTTAAGTACTTGGAAACCCCGGAAACACTTTAGGAGAGGCGTGAGGTTGCAATAGAGATACACTGCAATATGGAAGACATCACAGATAATTATGAACGAGTTTACAGCGCCCCCTGGTGACAGAGAAAAGCTTTAGATAAATACATCAGTCTGAGACACACTGACCGGTCAAAGTTAACCGACAGACGCGCTCTGCCGAAAAAACTACGTAATTGCCAGCGTTCGACGATGTTCAATATAGATTGCGTCTCTTGTATGTGCCAGTCGACAGGTTGATAATGTCGAACAAACAGGCTATCAAGACCAGACAGCAGTCCTAGAACGTCAGGTCAACGGTCGATAGTAATTTCAGTACAATAACTCGACGGGGTCATTAGATACAGCATCGGGTCCGAGACTTAATGAAAACGAGACAACGGGATGTTACATTGACCGAAAATGGCCCGACAGAAAAAATGTGAGTCTTTCCATATCTGTTCATACCACATAAAAGTTTAACATTGGATACATATTTAATAGAAGCATAAATAACTTGAGTTTCATCAAAGTCTTTCTAAGTGTACCTACAAATATGAAAACAGAAACGAATCTTCTAAAACTGTAAGTAAAACATATAGATAACAAACAAATGTTTGGTTTTATTCTTTAGGGATATATCTTTAAAGTTCTTTTTACACTAACGAGCAGCATGTTTTTTCTTCTTAAATCCTGTGTTGCGGAGAAAGTCGGATATTTTGATCACAACTTATTACAATAACGAAACACCGTAAGAAATGCAGACGAAATACACGATACAGCTTGTTGTGTTGTCCTTTGTTCTTCGTTTAGTTAATGGCGGAAATTATGAAGATTCAGTGAATTGGCAAGATAAGTGTGAACAAACCGCCTACATAGATTCCTCTACCAGATTGATATGAAATAGAGATTTAAATACTTTTTGGCCCCTTTTGCATCCATTTGAAGTATACATTTAAAACATGTAACTTTACGATTTCTTGTATCACATGTTTGATTTATATAAGAACGTTCTTTGGGATAATAAAAACTTCGATCTGAACTAAATCTTTTCATTGGTTAATAACCATGGTGTATTGGACGATATGCCATGTGCGCCGTCTGTAATACTTTCCAACAGACCAACGCTCTGCCAAAACCCTCCCCGCAAATGTACCAGTGAACAAGCGAATCGCAGACTGATTTAATCTGTGGAATTAGCTGAGTACCTTTATTTGATAGCGGACAAACAGAAAAATAGTTTTAACTTTTAAATCTCCTAAAAACCTTTCATACTCAATGTTAGGGTGTTCAGCTGAACTTATCGCGAGGATGACATGAAATAGTGTTTGTGAACCCGTCAAATGTTGATTTCATGTTTTGACGAGCGATATCGACAAATTGATGGATTTGATTGATTGAAATTAACATCTGGCATGACACATGACGTCAGTTTTTATTTTATTTTTCGTCTCTCGACTGGATGACGATTGGAAATGTTTTACAAAAAATCCTTCCATAATATATTCATGTTAAGAAGACAGAATAGGACAACTGCGCACAGGTATAGAAATGATAAAGACGCACAGCTTGTTGCGAAACGAATACATATAGGCATCACGTGACAAATTAAATGTTAGCGCGCGAAAAAGAACTGTCTAGTTTAAATAATAAGGTTATCTTGGACACTGAGGTAGACACGAAAACGACTTACGTTACAATTTACTCGGTAGAATAGATATAATCACACATGTTCGTATATTATAGTGGAACATATGACACGGGTTCCGAAAATATTGGATAAAATAATCAACTCATGCCGCTACTGACCTTCGTTAATTACATGGTCCGACATTTTCTCACCCTCGTAATATATAACACCATAATACATGTCCATACGTTGATTTTTCTGATATATGATATATATATCTATATATGATATGGTGTGTCGCTTCCAAGCATATCAAACAGACGGTGGTTCCGACATTGTGCGTTTGAGGTTTCTGTCAATTTGTATATAAACACAACGAACAAATGATTTCAATACTAATTAATTATTTTCTCACAAAACAACATAGGTACAGCTGCTTGGTCTGTCAGCAACAGCTGATGCTGTTAGACGTGTTCACATGCTATCAATTAATTAATCGATTCTCTCTGAACAACAGCCGTATCAACGAGCATCTTTCGCGACACGATGATGACCTTGTCATATACACACATGTAAGGTACTTATTATACTTCAACAGCCTTACAGGGATCGCCTTAAACTTATGACGTCATAGCACGCTCGGAGATATAAAATTTCATTAGAAATTAATCAAACGCAGCTTCAAAACCTTCATCCGGTAGGTGATACACTATTTTGAATATAGAGATAAAATTGTCCATTTATCTTTATTTTATTTATTTATGCAAGAACATATGTGAATCGGTTAACAACCTCTTTTAGAAACTTGGAAAGACACATACTGCCCTTTTTGTTGGTGACATTAATGTTAACGAGAAAAAGTTTTTAAAAAAGAGTTTTGTGTAATATTCGTCATTATTTCATTTAATTTAGAAAAAAATACATTAATTTCTCACGCAAAAACTACTTTAATTACTTATTATATCCATGGCTTTTTAGTTTTCGGTGTCTCGCATGTCGAAGTATATTGGGTATGCAAGTGCATGCTCTATATATCTTGATTCCGTGATATATGTCGACTGCTGACAAACAAATCTTCAACAGAAGGGTATTCAAGAAAGCAGGTTGATGAAGACAATAGACATTTTTTATGGCTGCCATTATGAGATCTCATTGGGAAACTACCATTTCTTTTTGTGATATGAAAGTCGATGATCTTTATCATCCTCACAAGTGTACAATGCTATCGCTTTGTCACTACCCCGGTTCTAGTTTTGAGGACATACCTGTACCATTATTTGGATTTTACCAAATTTAACATAAGATCTTTGATACAAAAACAAGCAGCTTGACATTACCTCATCTTGTTCTAAAAGTACGTACATATATACACAATATTGAAACAATTTTAAGAAATGTTTTAACTCTATAAATGCGTTTACGAAACAAGTTTTCATTTTAATTTCAATTTTCATCTCCAGAACTTTTCATTGAAATATTCAAAATTATTCGATTTCAAAGGACGGGGTACTACCGTGTCGACTTCGTTTCATTAAAGCATAGACTGTTTGTGTCGATATATTACATGTATATCTCAAGTTTCGTGTTCGTTACAAACTCTTACAGATAGACAAAAACAGTTACAATTATTATTGTCTGACTAGAATTACGAGATTACTGTTTACAGTGCAAATCACGTGTTTTATCACTGTCATGACGAAATAGTGGCGTGAAGTTCGGATTACTTCCGTTTGCCGTATTTGTATTAGTCCGTCACTCAGGCTTGTGATATCAGTGCGTCTCTTTGTCAGGGGTATATTACACGTGGTCCGTTTCATTGTACCTTCAATAGCTATTGAGAACATTATTGAACATATTTTGAAAAACCTCTGTCAAAAATTTAATCCATATGCAAGTGCTATTTTCACAAAGTCATTTATATTATTGCTTGTACTTGTGGTCGCCATCACCAGGCGGAGGACAAGATATGTAGCTTCATTGCCGGCATTTTATTATAAAAATATGGCCGACATTTCATAATCTGTAGACGAGTTATTCTAAGCCAATTGGCCACGTACACTGTAATTTGCATATGTACACTACGTCTGTTGATTCTAAACTCGATAATAGCGAACTACATGCATGTTCACTTGGCTTATGCACAGATTTGCTGCGCAAACGCAGAGTTGACATAGAAACTCGTCGCGTCTTACCTTAACATTTATCCAGAGGTTCGGATATGCTCGCGGTAGTTTTTTCGTTTCTTAAAATTAGCGCAAAATTATCCATATGCAAAAATTTAATGTTAAGTTATATAGATGAGAAGACTTATAGACTTCAGAAACATTCCCAATGCGGAAATGTCCACACCGCAATCAATCTAAAGCGTTATTAACAATGCGAATATTTATCTAGTGATATATAGTTTAACGTAGGTGTAGACACGTAACGTTACAAAGTTTGTCATCGGGCTATGCATATTTAAGCCCACACAACACGGCTGGTAAAGGATCGACGTGTAACAGTTGTGTAATGATGTAACGATTTATGTCAACGAACTGAGTTGATACATGGTGATGCAGTGATAGCCAGCGGTATAGTTGCCATAACCAATATGTGTAGGTCATGCAAGAAGCCGAGCAACGGTAATAAAGTCTGTTTCATTACAAAATGTGACAAATAAGGTAGGCGTATATCATACACGCCAGGAAAGTGATTGCTGTTCCTGTTTACCGTGTGGAAACACATTTAGTTATTTTAATTCCGTTTATCAGCGATGCACAGTTTTGATATATGAACTGCCAAACATCCGTAACATTTTGTTGGTCTGTATCTAACTTGCAAGAGAGTAAATGTTATGTTTCGCGCAACTCATGCTGGTTCGAAAATGTGTCGATGAAAATATGGAACAAAAATGACAGCAAGGGGCTTTTTTGGCATAATGTATTCATGACGCTCACTAGAAACTAATGCTTCGTTTCGATTTGTATATTTCCAGATTCTTGGAAGAGGAACTTTAAAGATACGTGGACTCAATATATATCAGGACAGACAAGGGCAGTAACTCTTAAATACACAAAGATGGCGTCGACAATCTCGGCTGAAAATCTGTCACGTTTGTTGCCGAACGTGACCCACAACGAGACTGAAGCACCTCAGGTAAGGTTCGAGTCCGGGCAGGCTGCAAACGTAAGACTGACAAACAATAAGTTAAGGCAGAGAGCCCCAGTCAGTGATCTGAAATGCTAAATGTATTAAGCAATTAGTTATAAAGAAAGTTAAAGTTCATTTGCTTTATAAATAACATTGCTAAATTTTAAATCATAGTTTTGTTCTCCGATGAAATTCGTTCTACAATTTTTCCATTTTTTTTTTTGGTCGGATAAAGTCTCTCATAAACTAATTGTCTTTGACTGAATGTAGAGGAAATAACAAGCAACTGTTTCCAATGCCAGTGTACATTACTATAGTGAGACTCATAGCTCTAATGATATTATGTATTTAACATGCATACTCATACAAGACCGTTCTAACAAGAGTCTGGAAAATTGATTATTATGAATAGTAATTTAATGTGAACTTGACTCCTACGTCTGAAATTTACGCCGACTTAGTATTATACTTAAGGGAGCGTTGAACTATCAGATTAATCTTAATGGTAATATGTATACAATGCGAGCTGCTTCGACTACAGATTGGTTGATAGAGCGTACGTTACCCTTTGGTGACTTATCTGTAATCGCTCCAGCCTTTAACATGTTGTTGTTGACATTGTATGGACATTCATTCCATTTCTGTCTTTCTCATTAGGTGATGCATCAACCCTGGTTGACTGGACTATTCGTTATTATGTACGCGCTGATCTTCCTTCTGGGTATTAGCGGCAACACCCTCGTGGTTTACTGTGTCGTGCGCAACAAGACGATGCAGACTATTACAAATATCTTCATCACTAACTTGGCGGTGTCCGACATCCTCATGTGCCTCTTGGCTGTTCCGTTTACTCCCCTTAGCTACTTCCTGAACTCCTGGATGTTCGGTGAGGCGCTGTGTCACATCGTTCCTATGTCCCTTGGCATCAGTGTGTACGTCTCGACGCTTACGTCAACAGCTATTGCAGTCGACCGCTACTTCGTCATCGTGTATCCGTTCAAGCCTCGAATGAAAGTATGCGTCTGTCTGTTAATGATCGTAGCCATTTGGATTATCTCTATTTCTATATCGCTTCCACTGGGAATATACATGGAGTTGAAGGAGGGTTCCGAAGGTTGCACGTGCGAGGAGAGTTGGCCACGCCCTCAGGCATCCCAGTTTTTCACCGTCACTAGCCTTGTTCTTCAGTACATCGTGCCTTGCAGTATCATTACCTACTGTTACGCCAAGGTGTCGTTAGCTCTTAAGAAAAGGTCAAGGTCAAAGATCGGAAGTGGATCAAAATTTCGGGAGAGGGACGAAACTGAAATTAAACGGAAGCGCAGAACAAATAAGATGTTGATCGCCATGGTGACGATTTTTGTTTGCTGCTGGCTACCGTTGAACACTGTGCTGCTGACGGTGGAGTATAAAAGTCATATAACTCTTTGGTATTATTATACTTTAATATTTTTCTCCGCTCACGTGATAGCCATGAGTTCTACTATATATAATCCATTTCTCTACGCATGGATGAACGATAACTTCAAAAAAGAATTCAAACTAGTCGTCCCATTTTTGTTTCGAACGGAACGGGAGCGACCTGTAAACGGCAACTATACTCAATACACAAATGTGGACACTCAGCCGTCTGTTGTTATAAACAGGTCACCCCAGAAAGACCGCGAGAAGGCGAACGACTGTAATAGCCCAACTAATAAGCAGAAAGCTTTCTATGATCCGGAATCAGAAAAGGTGGAACTAAAAGTGAATACGGATGCAGATAGTGAAGGGGCGCATAGTGCGTAGATACACCGTATTTCACAATACAACTGCTTTGATGACTGACGTCACATGATAGTATACAAATGACTTAATCACGTGCTAGTCACGTGGTATCATCGATTTGTCACCGACATGTTGAAGCGTGTGTGAAATTGTAATCACGTTTTAAGTACCTAAGTCCCATATTTCATCATGTATCCTAAGGTTGCTGCGTTTCCCATGTCTGTGTGTTTGCTAATATGTCCACCCGGGTAAGAAACACCGTCGTTCCTAATGTTTGGACTCATCGTTCACGTGCAGTACACGCAGTGATAACCTCATCAATTACGAAGTTCAGTTCATAACAGCGTCATTGATCCTCATGTCTGTTTTTAACTTCGTCATATAACCGAAAAAAATAATCTATTTCCCTTTTTCCCTTTCGTTCGTGGGTGACTGGGTTAATTCTCAAGAAACAATAAAATAGACCTTCTAATACATAAATATCAACGTTACCAAAATTCCCTGGCAAAATTTAAGCAAAGACCAACCGTATTGAATGGTTTTCTCCGCCGTAAAGCGTCAAGTACATCCGTGTGGCCTCGGTGAAAGATACCCGTTCCACCGCCGAAAATAGCATTTACGCATGTGCGTTGAGATGTTTTCCCCCTGACATGACTATAGTTTTGATATATCACTTTCTTACGAAATTTTCATAGGAAAATAACAATGATGAAATAAGCAAAAATGAAATAAACAACAAAATTCTTAGTGTAATAATGTCAGGGGGCATAGCCAGGATCCGAACTCCAGACTCACGTGTATGATATTGTGGCTTTACCAACTGAGCTATCTGGTCAAAGGAAGTATCGTGGCACAGTCGCGCTACAGTAACAGCCAAACAAATTTCAGGGAAGGTTACTCTACGTATTGGAATCTTCAGTGAGGCGTTCTAGTGTGTTTCCGCCAATGTGACAGGGATCCTTAATTGCTAATGTTGTTGTTGAGCTTCCTTTATACGCTGTACCATACAGGTCGAATTGCTTTGGGAGGTCTGCTGCATCTCCATTTACCTCCTAAACAATTATCAGTTTGATATTACCAACGCCATTTATTTAATAGAAATTTGTCTTGAAATTAGAATTTCCACCTGGAGTTAGACTGGGATATGAGCCCGGATGCGTTTCTTAAGATAATTAATCACTAGGCGGCGACATAGCAATTAAATTACGTCTCTGAAATTACATCTTAATGCTGATGGTCGAAATAAAGCATCGTTGTCGTAAGTAGAACACGTATACCTGGTCACAAGATGACCAGCGGTCTGAAATAATTATTCCTGGTCGTGTGTCCGTCAATATCATTAACAACGGTTCTTTCGTATCAGATTGCCTCATTTAAAGCGACAAGGCATATAATTATACCCAATAACAACATACACCAACAAGGTCCATTAGATACAACGCTAGGTAGTGTTTTGTGCCACTCCACTTCACCGAGGATGAGGTAGAGTTCACGAGATCTCCACTTCCACCGAGGTCGAGGTAGATTTCACAAGATTTAGAACGCTCGCACGCTCTAATTTCTATGTCCTTATTAGCCGCCCTCATTAGAACTGTTTTATGGTTGTAGTTTTTTGTCCTAACGACGCCTAACAACCACGACTACTGTTTCCTTCCCGTCCAATTAGGTGTAATCCGGTTGTTTTCCCGTTCAGAATACAATAGGCCTAGCTATGTGTAACTAGTTTATAAATTTCGGACAACTTTGTCTGTGGATTCTCTGCCGGACGATCACATTTTTTTAAGACAGAAAATCAAAAATAATTAGCCGATGTGCCCGCGGGTACACGAATTTGATACATGTATTGTAAGTTATCATCGGATGACAGACGCTGGCATTACCAATAAGCTGTAAATCGGAGGGATATAAGCGTAACATTCAAAAACAGTCATTGAAAAGCATAATAGCAGTGACTACTGTAATTATTGTGATTTGGAATTCGTCCAAAAATATACAAAATCGTACACCCGATTAAAACGATATTATTGTGCTTAACTTAAAAAACTAAATCGAAGTGACGTGGCCCTATGACGTCACCAATATGTCATATATAAATCCGTAGTTGCTTCTGTAATTCTGTCAGTATCCTCGTTTGATTCCGTAAAATATCAACTGTTTCCGTTTTTGGATAGTGGGTGATGCGTACTATCAAAAACAGAATAATTGTTAAAAGCATATGCCAGAGTATTTAGTTAGAGTAATTCAATTCAGAATGTAAGATATAAGCTGATTCTTGACAGAGTCAATTTCAAACGGAAATATGGCGACGTTGCCAATTCTCATCTCGAACTTACAATCTCGTAGTATACCTATACCTATGTCACTACGTCACTAGGGTCGGCGCCTGACGGCAAGTTTAGAATCCATATGTGTAATGTTGTCGGTATCGGTCAAGTATGCAAGACAGGGCACGATTTCTGTCCGTCAAACCAAGCCGAATAATCCGTCTGTGACAGAAAAATCACCACTTGTACGAATAGAAAATACTGTATATATATGTGCGTTAAAAGACAGTTGGACTACAGAAAGAGAATACCGACATTTAAAAAAAAGGCAACAAATCCCCCCCCCCCCCCCCCCCCCAACAATCTCAAAAAAATAAATAACCTTAAGTGACCATAGTTTTAAATACTTTTACAACATCATTCCACTTATATGATCGCCGGAAGTGGAATGCATGTGCACGCGTCGATTGTCGGCCTTCTTTTCAAATGTTCTAAATCTGGTCACGTTACATTACAGGAGAGACGAACGTAAGACTTAACTGATTTTACATATGATGAAAACCCGATGCTTATCGATATGACCTACTTTAGTGTTTCCCGTTTTCTGATCGGCGTAACTCTTATACTCAATAATTTGCAAATCCTTATGGTCACAAAAATTCCTCTTTAAATTGAAGATAATGCAAACAGAAAATATATGCTGATACCGATACAACTACAATTTTTTTTTTTTTTTTTTTTTTTGACATTTCCAAATATTATTGACTATCACACATCGATTGGCATTTTTCACTAACGCACCTTGTTTTTTTTATTATAATGCTACTTCCTGAATCACAATTGGGTTTCGACAAGATTCTGAATATTTCCACTACTACCACCTTGGTCGCACTGACGCTCATTGCATATTCAGAAATATTTGAATAGTACAGTCTTGGTCATACTGACGTTCCATGCATATTCAGACGGATTCCGATTGTACCGACTTGGTCACACTGACGCTTCGTGTATATAAAGAAAGATGATGGTACCGTCTGAGTCACACTGAAGCTCCTAACATATTTAGAAATATTTGAATAATACCGTCTTGGTCACACTGACGCTCCTAATATATTTAGAAATATGTGAATAATACCGTATTGGTCACACTGACGCTCCTAATATATTTAGAAATATTTGAATAGTACCGTCTGGGTCGCATTGACGTTCCGTTTATATTCAGAAGGATTCTGATTACATCACCTGGGTCACATCGACGCTCCTTACATATTCAGAAATATTCAAATAGTACAGTCTGGGTCACACTGACGCTCCGCTTATATTCAGATTACTTCTGATTGTACCGACTGGGTCATACTAACGCTTCCTGTATATTCAGAAGAATTTTGATTATATCATCTGGGCTATACTGAAGATCCGTTTACATTCAGATTGATACCGAATGCACCAACTGGGTCACACTGACGCTCCGTTTATAATCAGAAGGACTTGATTCTATCATCTAAGTCACACTGAAGCTCCGTGTATATTTAGAAACATTTTAATAATACCGTCTTGGTCACACTGACGCTCCGCTTATATTCAAATTGATTCTGGTTATGTCACTGGGGCCACACTGACACTCCGTGTTTATTCAGAGTCATTTTAATAATATCGTCTGGGTCATACTGACGCTCCGTTTATATTCAGATAACTTCTGATTGTACCGACTGGGTCACACTGACGCTCCGTTTATATTCAGATAATTTGTGTGATTGTACCGACTGGGTCACACTGACGCTCCGTTTAAATTCAGATAATTTCTGATTGTACCGGCTGGGTCACAATGACGCTCCGTTTATATTCAGAAGGATCAGAATAGTACTTACTGTGTCACACTGTCTATCCGTATATATTCAGAAGGGTCCCGATAATATCGCCTTATCTGTTTGATAACTTATGGCCGTATTTGTCAATAACATTGTTTTCTATTGAAGAAAATATTTATAAAATATATCAATGATGCATTATCAAAATGTGATGAGATATTCCGGATTATTCACATCCTGGCAACCGTTTTAACTGTTAAGCTGCAGGTTTTGTCATTCGGATGCTAGATTTGTTAGGTTGCCGTGTCATTTTACACTATATCACATGTGACGAATTATTTTAAAGAGTTTTCGTCTTCTGTCAACTTTCTCACTTAGTCCTCAATGTTGACACTCTGTTCTAATATTTAAAGATTATTACAGACATAAATAATTGGCATATAATCCGAATGACGCAATCTTGGTTTAAAACCCATAACTGGAATCTGTATTTCTATGTTTGAACATGGAAGCTCGCCTCGGTGTCAGCATCAAAGCTGACTGGTATCCTTTAAGTGCCACGCCACATATCCGCACTACTTCCGGCCGTGTTGCATTATGGTTAAAATATATTTTTTGACGTGATTGTTCATCTGTGTATTTAGGACAGGAATGTCACTCTAATTTCGGGAAAACTGAATACGTATTTTCGCGGCTATGTATATATACACTTGATATTCAGGACTTACATATGATTCCCCTGTGTTAATGCGTCTGTTTGAATATTTGCGAGTTTCTTTTTTAATTTTGCGATTTTATTTCCTTCGTGTATTGATCTCAAAAATACGATTTGAGAAATAATAGCGGGAATCACAGTGCTTTGAAGTCGGTACCGATATGTGGTGCGGTTCAAAAAGCCTTTAATATTGGGATACTTGCTGGTTTATTAATGTATCAATGCTTCTTATTGAACATGTGTAGATTTGTTATGTCTATAAATATATAAAAATATATATCTATAAATAATATAAATATCATAATTATATAATTGTATAATGACCCATGTGTATGATTGTAATGAAACGGATAAGCATGATTTATCATTGATTTCAATCCTTAAAATTATGTCGCTATTTATAACAGTCCGTATTATTCAATTTTAGAACTGATGATTTTTAGTTTTTTAAACCAGAACAAAATTCTGCCCGCTTTGAACGTAAGTAAATGCATCATTAACCTTACCTAGATTAAATAGACTCAAAAAACTTATGATTTTTTTTTGGTTCCGTTTTAATTTTTTTTTTTTGGTAGGCCTACAGGTCCGGACAAAGTTTCCTGCTCCTAATTTTATTATACATTTGGTATAGCAATGACCTTTCGATATTTCCCGGAATCACTTCCGGTTTAAAGAAATAGTTTTCCCTGCCATCGGTTCATCACTATGCCCGAGTATTTATTTGTATGTTCCTGATGTCGTAGTTATCAACACTTATATAAAAAAAAACACTCTGTAAATAAACCACAATGTGTTGTTATCTTTATATTTGACCTGCATCCATTAACAATCCATCTTGTGAGAGAGCCTTTCCGTTATTAATTAATGGAGTACATTTTCTTGTCAGAAATTCTTTACTAGCAATGTTGTAAAATCATCTTTCTTTTTTTACATTGTATTTTCTTCTCAAATTTTCATTTTGCGATGACGAAAGAATCTTATTTCGTTTTCGACTTTTTTTCCACCTTTTTTTTTTATTTGTAATGCTGACAAAAATCATGATTCGTTTCATGATTTGTATCCTCGCCTTGTCACAGAAACTGATACCGGTGTTTGTTTCGCCTGCTACAAGCGTCATGTGACATTGCAGTGATATTGCGAGGTGGTTTTGAACAATGCGATAAAAAAATGAAGATCAACACAAAAATACGTAAAGTGGGTTTGATCTGGTTATGGGACTTTAGCTTCAAACGTATATATATATTTATGACCATATATGGAATAGTGTTTGAGATTAATGAAAAATAACGAATTAAAGCTTCGCGTTCCATTCAATTTACACCGGAGTTATTACCTCATAATCTGGCCAAAGTAGAAAAAAAAGTTTCCTTATATTTTTTTTACACTATTAGTGTGAATGGTTCAGAACTATTTGAAACATAAACCTGATCGGTGTCAACAAAATAAAACATTCATGACACAATAATCCTTAATTATAATGAATTTCAAATAGGAAAAGTGCTAGCAAATTTCAAAATTCTAATAAGAAAGTGCATATATTTTGAACCGTGCCACTACGCAAAGAGTTAATTGCGGCCACCACGATCTAGGCAAACATCTGGGACATGGAAAACCACAAGCAAAGTATATCACATATCGACGAACGCTAGACACATACATATGCATGTTAATACACACAATCTGATAATAGATACAGCATGCCAAACAAACAATGTTCCAAACAGCTGTTTCGTCTTTCTAAGAATCATCGGTGATGCCATAAGACAGTAGATTCTACCTCATGACTTCACAATGTTAAGTAATACTTTACCGTCGTAGAGTTTTATGGTTGCCTGATTGTATCCTAATACGTCTATCACGTACGACCGAACTGTAGCATTAAAGTCTGACGACTGTAGCACTCCATCAAATGAACATGCGCTATTACATATAATAAATTGCTATACCCACGTTAGAAATAAATATTCAGTATTTTACACCGGTAAAACCAACAATCTGAAAAAAGGGTGACTGCATTTCTGAGAAAGAGGCGTAGTAGTCGCCATGTTGCAATAGTGAAGCATTTTATTTGTTGACCAGCCGACATGCTTCAATTATATTTTTTTATATGTCAGCTGAACAAGATCCTGCTAGTGTGACCACGAAACCAGTCTACAAGCTCTGCAGTGTCTCACCGTTATCAGTAGTACATGCTTGCAATTACTGTTTGAATCAAACCCGTCTGTACTGCGACTTTGTTTCATTCGACATGACGTCTGTTTTCCTTTACTGGCCGGAAGGAATGGTCCCTCAACGAATCCACAACTAATGTTTTGTTTTAGTTGTATACTCGATTTTCAATAAGATTAGCTGATCATCAAAGCTTTTAACCATGAAGTTACATAAGACATGCACCGACAACGTGGTTTCCTGAGCGAACGCATTGGACATATCTGCAGGTAAATCCCCATCCCAAACGGATATCATAAGCGCGTATACTTCCAACGTATTAACAACGTGCTAATCTGATTTGATAAATGAAAGTGATAATAATGCAAATTTAACCGACAAATAAAGACGTTGACTGATTTTGCATTACCCTTAGCCTTTTCATGTTTCCCTTTCATCCATTTAACATGGTCATGTCGACTTTCAATTTCTACTCCACTTCTGTAGAGAGTGTGCTTTATGCATCATGTGTCAAAAACACAGGAGTACACGGTTAATGTCATCTAACAACACCAACACTCTACACTTATCGCTTTGAGAGTCATTATTAAATCTAGATTGATGTAGTAACTGATATAAAAAAAAAAAATCGAAACGTATTCTCTGACAACGACAAA